CTAATTGGGTCGCGGCCGCTGATGGCTCCGCTGTCATTATTAGAAGGCACTCCCCGCGCTCCTTCCCGTATCCCTAGTGGAGAAGGGGAGGAGATTTGTCATCGCGCGGTGAGGTGCCCTACGGGTGGTGGGGGTCTATGCCCCTCCCAGCATGTCTCACCCCGAGTTTTTACAACTCCTGCGGGAGATGGGGGCAGGCATTTGCCGATGCCTCCTCCACCCTGTACTGGTGGCCGGTGACTTTAACGCCTGGAACATGGCGTGGGGTTCCCGGCGCACCGACAGAAAGGGTGAGGACGTGATAGAATGAGCGGCGGAGCTGGACCTCCTGCAATTAAACAGGGGGTCCACAAGCACCCCCGTGGGGAGTCCATAGTCGATCTGACGTGGACCTCCCCGCGGGCTGCGCGGCTGGTAGAGTCCTGGGGGGTGACGGACAGAGAGTCCCTGTCGGACCACCAAATCATAGAGGTGGTCCTGACAGCCACCCCCCAAGGAATGCTGCTCCGTCGCCTGCGGAAAGAAAATAGATCCCCACGCAGGTGGGTCCTGGCGAGGCTGGACCAGGACAAGTTGGAGGCGGCGGTCTCGGTGGAGATGTGGTCGGATTCTCCCGGCCATGTCGAAACCGAAAAAGAGGCCGCCGCGATCGTGGGCTTGGTGACACGGGTTTGTGACGTGGCCATGCCCCGATCGAAACCCGCCCCTCGTCGGGCGGCGTATTGGTGGAGTGAGGAGATTGCAGAACTCCGCAGAGTTGCCAATTCAGCTCGACGCGATCTCCTCAGGGTCCGACAAAGAGCGGGTAAATACGATAGAAGCACTGCAATGGCGCGCGGTGTGTACCTGGCCGCAAGGTACGCACTGCGGTCGGCCATTAGCAGGGCCAAGGCCAAGGCCTGGGAAAAACTTATCGCGGAACTCGACAGGGACCCATGGGGGCATCCCTACCGGTTGGTCCTAAACAGACTAAGACCGGCGGCGCCACCCATCTCGGAGATGCTCGACCCGGAGTTTCTCGGTCAGGTGGTGGGGACCCTCTTCCCCGAAAGAGATGTAAACATCCCCCCGAGGAGGGACCCTCCCCCCTGGTCCGAGGACCTGGAAATTTCATAAAGGGAGTTCTCCGAGGTAGCAAAGAGACTGGGGGCGACTGGCAAGGACCCCGGTCCCGATGGGATCCCTGGTCGAGTCTGGGCCTTGGTCTTTGGCGGAGTGGGAGTCCGCCTGAGGAGGTTATACAACACCTGCCTCAGGACGGGCACTTTCTCCTCGGCGTAAAAAAGAGCTAATCTGGTTCTGATCCACAAAGAGAGCGGGGCTTAGGAAGCCGGCGGAACAGCCTTCTGCTTACAGGCCAATTTGTCTGCTGGACAAGGTCAGCAAGCTGTTTGAGAGAATAG